TATGTGCTTGTGAATAGACTATATATATATATATATATATATATATATATATATATATATATATATATATATTCTCACTAGACATGCACATACACAAGTCCCTTGTAGATATCTTGAAAAATTCAAGGCTCCCGGGTATTCTTTTTCCCCCAACAGAAGGTCTGCGAGGTTTGCTGTTGAATAACAATAGGAAAAGGATAAGTATTTGGAGAAAAGAAATGATTAATGATTTTTTCGGTATAATTCTCACATTTTTCTCCGCTCCTGACTGCTTTTAAATGCTTGTGAACTTTTAGGGTCTATAGAAATCTCCACCCTAAATCCTATTCATGCTCTCCAGCTTTGATTCGGCTCTATAGAAGCGACCTTCTTAGTTACCACGATATGCTTTTAAAGTTTTGTTGCAAGAGAGGGGAATGTCTTGGTGGATCCCTGAAAAGGCTGGGGCAAGCGTCTCAATGGGAATTTCGCCAGTGAGGTTGGGAGCCGGCCCAGTGTTTGGCAAATTCAAGCTTCTTGTTATCTAAAAAGGTTTCTCAGCCCCATCCACAACTCATGCAGGCTCCTCCATTGACTCACAATGGTATCTTCTGTAAACAAAGCCAAACTAAACCATTTAATTCACACGGGAAGAATACACACATATACACACACACACACACATATATATGTTTTAGATCTTTATCCAGTTCTTTATCCCAACTAGATTAGTCACATCGAAATCGATCAAAATTTTCAAAAACAACTATATAAATCCCATAGTTTCAGTGATTTTATTAGAGTTAGGAATAACAATTACTATTATGTGATACCTGCATATGTCTACAAGGCCCTGACTGTTCCAGAACATCTACTAAGCATTGTATTTACTTGAAGTTAAGACCTATTAATTTCCATTTACTTCCCAAAAAAATGTAGTCAGGGTGACACTGTTGTGCTGCCTTTGATTTATTCTACACCACTCTAATACAAACACTTTAGATTAAATGGGAATTGGATTGCAGCCACCCACTGCAGTCCAGAACCCACTTGCTATATATACTTTTTCTCTTGGCTTAAGGGGACATTTGCAATGAAAATAGGGGCCCTTCCAGACAGGCCCTATATCCCAGGATCTGATCCCAGGCTTTCTGCTTTAAACTGGATTATATAAATCCACATTGCCAGATAATCTGGGATAAACAGTAAACCTCGAATCAGATACTGGGACATAGGGCCTGTCTGGAAGGGCTCTAGGTCATCAACAGCAGGGTGTTGGTTACAGAAGACACATTTTTGTAGTTAATGTCTATACAAAGATCCCTTTAACCTATAGTTAGCCTATGTAGATGACATTATACAACACACATTGGGCTTAATCCAGACTCCTGCTTATTTTGCATTGGCAACACTGCCATATAATCCATATTATCAAAGCAAATAATGCACATTATCTGTTTTGCACTGGATTATGTGAGTTTACAATGCCATATCATCCAGATCAAATCAGATAATCTGGATTTTATGTGGAAGTGTAGAAGAGGCCTTAGAAAATACCCCCCCCCCCCGAATTAATCCAATGTAGTGAGACAACAAATCCCATCTGATCTTGGCAATTAAACATGGTTAACTCCAGTTGTACTTGGATGGGAGAACACCAACTAAGAATAAAAGATGCTGTAGGTCATATCTCAAAGGAGGAAATTGACAAAAATCACCTCTTAATATTTAATGCAAGGCCATTCAGTGGTAATCAAGATGGCCACTTGCAACATTCAGACAAGAGGTTTTTCTCCCACTCTGGACATTCCACAGATATATAAACCTCACTTGCCTAGTTTCCAACAGACCTCACAACCTCTGAGGATGCCTGCCATAGATGTGGGCAAAACGTCAGGAGAGAATGCTTCTGGAATATCAAGATGGTCACTTGCAACATTCAGACAGGGGTTTTTTCTCCCACTTTGGACATTTCACAGATATATAAACCCTACTTGCCTAATTTCAACAGACTTCACAACCTCTGAGGATACCTGCCACAGATGTGGGCAAAATGTCAGGAGAGAATGCTTCTGGAATATCAAGATGGTCACTTGCAACATTCAGACAGGAGTTTTTTCTCCCACTTTGGACATTTCACAGATATATAAACCCTACTTGCCTAATTTTCAACAGACTTCACAACCTCTGAGGATACCTGCCACAGATGTGGGCAAAATGTCAGGAGAGAATGCTTCTGGAACATGGCCACACAGGCCTGAAAACTCACAGCAACCCACCTCTTAGTACACTTTGTCTAAGAAAAGACTATAAAATTAATGTGGTCTCCATACTACATGTAACTCGAAGTCATATATGTACATTTGTAGTATGGCCACGACTAATTCAAGACCCATTTATTTCAGTGGACCATGCATTCACTCCAAGTAACCCACCAAAAATAAAGTCTGAAGATCAATTTCTGTATTTGACTTTATATAATAACCTCATTGAAACAGATGTTTGGATAATACAAAAAGAGGAAGAGAAAGTAGAAGAACAATACCCAAGGTTTGAATAATGAATAGACCCTGGCCTACAGGCAGGTTAATACAATATTTATCCCTCATTCTAAAATTACTTTGTAGAGGGGTGGGGAGGCCCGACTGAACCCAAGGGGAATTTGAAATGAATTTGACCTCTATTTCTATGGATCTAGTGTAGAACTTCCCACTGGATTCTGCTCTAAGGCAGAAACAATGCGAGGATCCTTTTAGGGAAAGAGGGGATTTGAGAAAGGAGAAAGAAAGGAAGAAAAATAACGGTTTTCTTTGTATGGTCCAAGATCTCCCCCTCACCCTATAATTTGTAACTTAGAACTGGAATGCTATTTCGTCCTAAACAGTATTTTCGATACTTTGTATGAGAAAGAAAATGAAAATTAATACAAGAGCTCTGGAGCACAAAAGAAGTCATTTGTCTTCTTGATTATCTATTTGCTTGTCAGAGTTTGAGCTATTGCAGCGGCTGGCTCCTTTGTAATATCAAAATACACAGAAAACCTGCAAACACCAAGAAACATCTGTGCAAAAATTATAGTCATTACATGTATTAAATACCTTGAAGAAGAAGGTACCCCTTTTTTAGTGGTGTGAAAGAAGGAAAAGAAAGGTGGGGGGAAACATACCTTGGAGACAATACTGATGCTTTCTATACTCCTTCAGGGTTATTTGTGTTGAGATATATACACAGATACACATATAATCAAACGACTATTTTAGTATTTTAACCAGTTTGGAAAGCAAAATGTAATCATGCTGATGGATGTTCAAAGGGAATAAATCATCCCTTATAAGGCTTAGCTGTAGCTAAAAAGGATATAACCTATCTTTTTGTTTCTGGGTTGTTGTGAATTTTCCAGACTGTATGGTCATGTTCCAGAAGCATTCTCTCCTGATGTTTCACCCACATCCTCAGAGGTTGTGAGGTTGCCTGCCATAGATTCAGGCAAAAGGTCAGGAGAGAATGCTTCTGGAACATGGCCATGCATCCCAGAAAACTCACAACCCAGTGAGAGAGTGTGGGTGAGCTCCCCCTGTCAGCTCCAGCTCCCCATGTGGGAACATGAGAAAAGCCTCCCACAAGGATGGTAAAACATCAGAAACATCTCCCGGGCAATGTCCTTGCAGACGGCCAATTCTCTCACACCAGAAGCAACTTGCAGTCTCTCAAGTCGCTCCTGACACGAAAATAAAAATAAAAAATTAGAAGAGTGGAGTCTCAGCCCCCCTCCACACAGATTTTTGCTTTCAACTGGAATATGTGGACTCAGATAATCCAGTTCAAAGAAGATATTGTGGGATTTTCTGCCTTGATATTCTGGGTTATATGGCTGTGTGGAAGGGCCCTCAGAAATTGACAACAATAAACATCAGGTAGAATCTTAAAAGCAAGCGTTTGCAAATGAGCACAACAAAGGGTAAGTGTCTTTTTTTCTTTACAGTTGCTGCTGAGAGACATTCTGAAGCACACAGACAGCCATGTTCACAATAAATGTTTTATTATTTCGAGGTTGTTGGGGTTTCTCTCTTTTTTTCCATTTTAGTTCACTATATACACATAGTATTTTATGGATATCACACAAAACAACAAGAGGTAATTATACAGAACTACAGGAGGGGGGTGTTATTTGTGTGTGTGCCCCCCCTTCCCCCAAGTTCTCCGGAATCACACCATTTCGGAATGTCGTACAGAAAGGAGAGCAACTCGGGAAGGGAGAGCGAAGCAAGGAGGGAGTATAGAAAACACGTCTTTCTTCCTTCCTCCTAGGGGAATTCCCTGAAAATCCATCTTTAGGCGCACATCCAGTTCGAGAAAGAACGACCCCGGAGGAGCATCCTTATATTTACGAAGGCTCTCCTCCCCTCCCTTCCGTTTTAATAGCCCCTGGAACCCAGATGGCCTTAGGTTATAATCAACTTTATAGACTGAAATGCGGGTCTTCCAGGTTAGGCAATTAACCTGGAGGACTTCCTTCGTTTTCTTTGTCCTTTAATTACTTTGGTTGCTTCTTTCTCCCTCGCTCTCCCCATTTTTTGGTTGCCGCCCTCCTTCAGCTGGTCACCCCTCTTTCTCCAGTGGCACCTCATCGGAGCCTCCCCCCCCACTCATTCACCCGGACACCCCTCTTTCTCCAGTGGTACTCCATAGGAGCCCCCTTAGCACAATAGGTTAAACCAGGACTGCTGACGAAAGGTTGAATCTGAGGAGCGGGGTGAGCTGCCATATGTCAGCTCCAGCTTCTCATACAGGGACATGAGAGAGCCTCTCTCAGGTCATTCTCTTACACCAGAAACGTCTTGCAGTTTCTCAAGTCACTCCTGACATGGAAAAAACCCCCTCATCTGATCTGGAATATAACTAATGCAATTTTTTTCAGGGCTTTGAGATGTTTACTATTTTATGATCCCATATTTCCACTGTCCATAGCTGAATCAAACCGATGCCAACACCTGGGGGGGGGGGGTGGAGGAAGTGGGGGGGACGCTTGGCGTTCAAGTGGGGTTTGGTGGCTGGCGTGGGAGGGATGGTGGGGGCGAGCGAGAGTCCAGTTCTCCTTAGGTGAAACCGGGCCTCATTTATTAAAGATGACTCTGCCTGTCGAGCTAATGGCTGGCATAAGGTCCTTCGTTTGTACGCGAGAGTAAACATGACAAATGGGCCCGGGTTTGGCTTGATTAAGGATGAAAAAGGGATCCATCTTAGCCAAATCCAAAAAGAGAGGGGAAAAAACCCACCCATCCCTATCTCCTACAGAACAGAGCAGCCCCCCCCCCCCCTTTCAACCCCGCAACACACACAACCCTCCTTTCCGGCCAAAGGGAGAACTCCCCCCTCCTTCGCGCCTCCAATTCTCCTTTGTTTCCTTCTCCTCTCATATAAATAGTGTTCCCACCGCCCCACTCGCCCCCTCCCCTAGAGCTCCCCTGTTTCTTCCTCAAGGGAACAGCGTCCCTCCCTTTCATACAGCAGTTCGTAGCGCACATCCACATCCATATCCACACATACACGCACACAGAGCACACTTGAAGGAGGGTTATAGGCTGGGGGTGGGGGTAGGGGTGGGTCCATTGGTTCGGTCCTGGGGGCCGCCTCCTCCTCCCCCTCCGCCTTGCACCGGCAGGCTGGAGGCAGAATTGGACCGGATCTTCGTGTTGGGCAACTTGTGGTCTTTTTTCCATTTCATCCTCCGGTTTTGAAACCAGATCTTGATCTGGCGCTCGGAGAGGCACAGGGAGTGGGCAATCTCCACCCTTCGCCGCCGGGTGAGGTAACGGTTGTAGTGGAATTCCTTCTCCAGCTCCAGGACTTGCTGCCTGGTGTAAGCTGTCCGGGAGCGCTTCGGTTCCCCTCCCGTGTAGTTGGGGTTGACTGAAGGGAAGACATAACAAAAGGAGAGGGAGAGGAGGAGGAGGAGGAGGGAGGGAGGAAGAGCGAGGAGGGGAGGGGGAGGGGAGAGTTGGCAACGTTACTCTTCGGGCCCCATTGAACAACAACAACAACAGCAACGCAAAGGAAAGAAAACAAACCGCTTCATACTTGAGGAAACGGAAGGAAAACGTGACAACCAGTTACAAAGCAAAACAAACCCCAAATCACCAACACTACCACCCTCCCTGTAAGGCGCAAAGAGACCGGATCTCACTCAGGGAAGTAAACCCAGTTGAGATGAATTGGAATTCTGTCCATTGCAAATCGGCGCAGAATGGCAGCCGAAGCCTCCAATCCCTGTTAATCTTCCCTTTGCACTTAGAGGGCTTTCATAGGAGTAAACATGTGTAGATGGGCTGCCCTTACGCTTCCATTCTTGGGGACGGATCCAGTCCAACAGCCACATCTTCTTCCTATTCATTTTCAAGTTGTGAAAGGTTGGTTGCTCTCCTTTATTCTATGCCCCCCTTCCTTTCTGTCTCTGCCTGACCCTCTCTCTCCAAAGTGGCCTGTTTTGCCAGCTGTCCTAAAAGAACCCTTCTTTCTTACACAGAGCCTGGCCTCTCACAACCATAAAAAAGAAACAATTGAGGTTGCTGTGAGTTTTCCGGGCTGTATGGCCATGTCCCAGAAGCATTCTCTCCTGATGTTTCGCCCACATCTATGGCAGGCATCCTCAGAGTTTGTGAGGTCCGTTGGAAACTAGGCAAGCTGGGTTTATATATCTGTAGAATGTCCAGAGTGGGAGAAAAAACTCTTATCTGAGAATTGTAAGGAGAGAATGCTTCACACAGCCTGGAAAACTCACAGCAACCCAGTGATTCCGGCCATGAAAGCCTTTGACAACAGAAAGAATTGAGGTTTTTTCAAATGTCCTTGGACCAAAGGTCGCCAAGAGTTTAAGCAGCTGTGCTTTAAAACCTGCCTAGAGTTAATTCTGAGGGCTCAATCGTGGCTAGTTCAGAGATAATGTGGTTTTGGGATCCCAACGTTGGTTGGGAAAAGAGGAGGGAGACAGAGAGCAGTCCATACTCCAAAACTTTGCACTCAAATTCTTAAAATATCCAGCAATGAGTGACTAACATGTGAGTAAATAGTAAATACATGAAAGACGTGGGCACAATGGGCCCAACGCACACAAGTGTTCAATCCCTGGAAATCTAGAAAATTAGGCATCAACTGTTGTCTACATCAGCCAGACAGACAACACTGCCAAACCGAAGTGCTTGGGCTGAAACCAGTTCAAAACCCCTGTTGCCAAAGAAACTTGGACTCCAATACTAAGTCTTAACAGTCTCTAGGATCGCATTAGTGCTGGATGGCGATCCACCCACGTGGACCTGAAAAGTTGGCCCTGCACCCCAAAGTTTCACAAAAGTTTCACCCCACATGGAACCCAACCTCCCTTGATCCTAGATACAGTTTTCCTCGGAACTCATTTCCACTCAACCCGGTGGGAGTCCCTTTTCAGTAAAGTGGATATGAGGAGGGTTAAAAGGAAGGGGGAAATAAACAACCCTGGAACAGAAACGTTTTAAGCATTGTGCTACTATAGGCTACCTCAATAGGCATTCCCAGCAACAAATAAAGAAAGAGCCCATGCCTTCCTAAAAACTTTTTCCTGTGGAACATTCTCTAAAGGGTGGAAGAAAGAAAGAAAACAAGGAAGGAAGGGGAGAGAAAGAAAGAAAGAAACTGGAGGAGGATGTTAACAGGGACTTCAAAGGCAGTTGGCCAAGAAGAGCCATAAAAATTTATGGAGGATGTAATTATAGCGCTCTGCAAACAGGGAGACCATAAATCTCCGAGGGGAATGGTTCTTTTACAACAGGGGCAATAAGCTTTTTTCCCCTCCTTTCTTCCTTTTCCTTCCCCCCACTTCTTCATCTTCCCAACAAGACTTTGAGGTGCAGACTAGTATAAAGCGATCATCGGCACTTTAAGGTTCACTTACCCGAGCTAACATGAACCTTCTTCATCCAAGGATAAACTACCGGCTCTTTGCAAGCGGACGGGCTTTGGTTGAGAGAGTTTTGGCTACAGGAAGGCGGTGGGCTTGGCGTGATGGATTCGCAAGTGTGGTTTGGTTCGGACAGATGGTTTTGAAGTCCAGCGGGAGCAAGGACATGCTGGCTGCGGGGAGATAGGACGGCGGGTTGGTGCCCAGGACCCTGGCAAGGAGGGTAGGAGGATGGTTGGTTACAGGCGGACCGCGCTGGGTACAACGCCTCGTGTTGGAAAGAGTTCTCCTCTCGCCTCTGGCCGCCGAAATACTCCGGAGAATGACTGGGAAGGTAATCGTGCTGGGAATATTCTTCGCAGGGTGGGAATTTGGGGTCCACATAGTTGGAGTTGATCAAGAAGGAACTCATGATGGCCATTAATATAACGCTGTGGTGGTGGTTGGCCTTTTTTGGGGGCGGGGAGGGCGCGCACACTCCCGCTCACTCACACCGCACGCACACCCCCAAAATATACTAAAATTTATTCCTATTTCTCGCGAGCCCCCCTCCCCTTCTCCCCCCTGCTCCCTTCCTTCCCTTCCCCTCCCCTTCTCACTCGTTTTCCTGTTTGGGAGAGACCTCCTACTTTTGCCGTCAACTGAACAAAGTTAGACGCCACGTGATCCCAGGAGCCAATGGAGAGGTTGCTTGGGATTCCCGGATAAGGAAATAATCAAGAAGGGCAATGGTGTTGAGGGGGGTGGGGGGAAAGATATGCTTGTCCTTTCCCCTTCTTTGCACGCAAACAACTTGGAGAGAAGTTGCAGTCAAGTAAATTTGTATTAGGCTCCATTGCACCCGGGACTTGTGGGACAGATAGTTCTCTTTTGGTCACTCTGCCAGGATTTGCATAATTTCGTATCCCAAAGACATCAAGTACCCCATTATCCCTATACAGAAGTCACAAAATCCAATGTGTTTAAAATCAGTGTCACTTCTAACGTACACAATACACCGTCCTTTACAAAGTCAAAGATAAATAGCAACACATTTAATCTCAAATAGAGGTGATTGGGAGGCTTTATTTTGCACATAAGTCCTCTAGTTCCTGTTCTAAGTTTTGACGCTGGAGTCCAGCCACTGGCAAAGATAGATAGAGCTCCTTTGAGATCGATAGAAATGTCATTAACTAATTCGGATTACCCATTCCTTTAAAAGACAGTTAGCTTCACCCACGCACCCACTCCCCAGTTGAAAAAAAATGCAAATACTCGGATAGGAGAATTATAACTACCCTATTAATTAAAAGAGCATTTATTTGGGGGGGGGGAGTCTGGAAGATAGGAAACGCATACATTTTCTCTCTCTCCTTCTCCATCAATCATCTGTCTCCTTGCTAAATGTATTTTGTAGGGCAGGCTATACACTCTTGTTTTGCAACCCATCGGGGCAGAGACCTATTTCTTCTGTGGTCTGAGGACATCCTTCGCTAGGAAAGCGCTTTCTCTTTAACCTCAGTTGACAGAAAGGTGTGATTCTGCAATACTTTTTGGAAAATATAGAAAAACAAGAGGGGAGGAGACTTTCTTTTCTCCCTCTTAAACATTTATGTGTTAAGGAAGATTACCAAGAAAACAAAGTTCTAGTCGGGTGATTCCAAGTCGGAAAATATGAGTGTTTTCCCCCAAAACGACATGCCATCCACACAAACATTGCTGCCAGCAACATCAACACCAATAATCTTCAAATTTATAGCGACAGCAATATATATATATACAACAAAAGTATATTTTTAGCAGCATTCCCGGATTGGGTTGTTGTAGGTTTTTTCCGGGCTATATGGCCGTTTTCTAGAGGCATTCTCTCCTGACGTTCCGCCTGCATCTATGGCAAGCATCTCAGGGTTGTTGACCTCACTACCTCTGAGGATGCTTGCCATAGATGCAGGCGAAACGTCAGGAGAGAATGCCTCTAGAACATGGCCATATAGCCCGAAAAAACCTACAACAACCTAGTGATTCCAGCCATGAAAGCCTTCGACAATACATTCCTGGATTGTCAGATTTCTTTTTTTTCCTCCCCTCCATTCCCTTCTTCTCTTTCTTCTCCTTCTTTTTCTTCTTCTCTTTTAGGCTGCGGGTCCGTAGCGTTTGTGTCTACTACATATTCCCCTAGACGCGAATTTGTGACGCAATGTTTTTTACACAAATTCGGATCTACAGGGTACATACAGAAGACAGAGAGACATTCTGCTCAGGAGAACACGTCTTCTTTGTGGCTTAGAGCCAGAACCAAACTTGGCTGGGAAGGGGAGGAAAGCGTCCAATTTCCAAGTGAAAGAATGCCTGCAAAGATTTGTTTGAAACACAGGAGCCAAAAATTCAAGGAGTGTTAAACTGGATCCGTAGTCAAATTCCATTTCTCCCATCTCCACCCCCCAATAAATACTGATACTAGAAACTTAATGGACAAGGAAACAAGGAAACCTAAAATAGGTAGATAATTAAGTAGTTAGATGGTTTGGTGGACCAACAAGGACATCAAGCGGGGGAAATATTCACCCACAATCCAGATTAGCAAGATTTATTATTTAATTAAAACGAAAATTGCATTTTTAAGGAGAATAGCTTTCCTTTTTCGTCTGTTTTCGTTACAAAAAACAATACAGATCTTTGGGTGATGTATTTGCCTACAATAGATATAAACAGACGGGAAGGTGAAGAGGGAGAGATCTAAAACCACGCAAAATGTGTGTTTCCAAAGGCGATCATTCTTTGGGTTGTTGTAGGTTTTTCGGGCTATATGGCCATGTTCTAGAAGCATTTTCTCCTAACGTTTCGCCTGCATCTATGGCAAGCATCCTCACAACCTCTGAGGATGCAGGCGAAAGGTTAGGAGAGAATGCTTCTAGAACATGGCCCGAAAAATCTACAACAACCCAGTGATTCCAGCTAAGAAAGCCTTCGACAATACATTGATCATTCGCCAAGGGAGAGGAAGTAAAAGATCAAAGGGATCTTATGTCCCTTTTCCCCCTTCAAAAAGAGGGGATATAAAGCAATAAAATATGCATATTGTGGGAGCAATGAACCTTCTGTGGGCAGGAAACAAAAAGGGAGAACAGAGCGGTTTCCTCCACACATCTGTTTACCTGTGCTGTTTACAGAAATATGAGGAATTTAAAATAGATGCGACAGCACTGTTTTGGTTGCAGTCCTACACACATCTGGAAATAACTGCCACTAAACTTAATGGGATTTAGTTCCCTATAAACAGATATAGCTACCGAGGCAAATATAAGGAAACCTTTCAGTAACATGGGTTTATTCATCAGGTAAAACAGTGTGTTGGTTTCCCTCCCAGATGGGACTAAGCAACCTGTAGGGCGTTTCTTCCTGGACGAGACATTATTTTTCTTATACCCCAATATTTTCAATAAGAAGTGTTGCCTGTGGTTCTAAAGCAAAGCCTTTAGCATGACAATCCCCTGGACATTTAAGGTGCACTGAATTCCCTGAGACTTAATTCCAGATTAGCAGTCCCAAATTAGGGAGGAAAGGGAAGTAATGATTGGAAACTGCACCTGCATTCCAAATCAGGCGAGAATATACATGAGAAGACATCAGGGCAAAGTAACATTCACCTTAGGACAACATTTGTTTCATTTCAAAGATCTATTGAAGAAACAAATAAACAAACAGCCTGTACCGAGACTTAAACATTTTGGTCTTGCTTCCCCGAATGCCCTTGTTTCAAAGCAATTTATGGATTCTCTTGTAAGTCAGTTCTCTACCGACAGATGCTAGTAGACAGAAGACTTTGGGAGTTGCCTGTTTCCACTTTGGGATAAAGTACCATCAGGTTTCAAACACTGGCATCCCGTGACATGTATAGATTTGCTTGGAAGTATAGAATAATAGAATCATAGTTGGAAGAGACCTCATGGGCCATCCAGTCCAACCCCCTGCCAAGAAGCAGGAAAATTGCATTCAAAGCACCCCCGCTTAATATTATTAATATAATAATTATCATATTATTATTACTATATTATTATATAATATATGCTAATATAATTATAATTCATCTTTATGCCCCGCCCCCTCTCCCCGAGGGACTCGGGGCGGCTTACAACAAATAATAATAATAATAATAATAATAATAATAATAATAATAATAATAATAATACAACATTATGAGAAATACATGACAAACAACAACAACAATAGCCAAGTAAGCACATCTGATTTCAAAGGGATTTACTTTCAAGCAAAGGTGATGACTTCAGTGTCCCAAACATTTTATCTGGTGCCATATCTAGTTTTGCTAAACTTTGACAGCTCAATAGTTCTGGGTAAAGTAATGTCTGTTATTTTAGGCCCTTCCACACAGCCCTATATCCCAGAATATCAAGACAGAAAATCCCACATTATCTGAGTGTGGACTTAGATAACCCAGTTCAATGCAGATATTATGGGATTTTCTGCTTTGATTATTCTGGGATATGGGGTTGTGTGGAATGGCCCTGGAATATATGGCAGTGTGGACTCAGATAACCCAGTTCAAAGCAAATACTGTGAGATTTTCTGCCTTGATATTCTGGGATATAGGGCTGTGTGGAAGGGCCCTATGTGAAAGTTCTCGCTCCTAATAATTGTCGAGGTGAAGATGCACATAGTTCAGAAGCATCGTTACATATGTTTCCTGCTAAGAATAGAAACACGTTTGATACAAGCCTTTTCCATACCATACCAAGGAAATGTGTCACCTTTACCTGGTACAACCAGGAAGGGGGGGGGGGAGAGAAATGTTTCTTTCAAGAGAAACTAAGTAGGAAAGTATATGGAAACATCTTTGAGACACCTCCTTTCCCTCCTCTAGTTGATCTAGGGAATGTATACTTGATTGTTCCTGCTCTTGTCTCAGTGCATAGATCTGCCTGGAACGGAATATTTGAGCCAATTTCTTCCCTCACTCCATTACACACACATATATATCTTATATATAACATCTCTTGTATAAACAGGCAATTGAGGGGTTCATCCCGGTATCACCAGCACCCCTAGCGTCTGGGAGAAATTCCCCATTCTTTTTTGCGGTCTCAAAATCGCAGCCCCGAAATTCAAGCCCCCTCCCCACCCTCCTTCTCCTCCTCCTCTCGCCCCCTCCCTCTTTCCTTCTTTTCCTTCTTTTTTCCCTCTTCGTCACTTTCGATTGCTCTCATAAAAACGTCTCCACTTTTCGGAAGTTTGGAAAGACAAATCCCGCCCGGGTGCGTCCTCTGCATTTCAAAGAGAGGAGACTCTCTCCAACCAGAGACTTTCCGAGCAGATGGGACGCCATAAAAGTTGAGCTGAATTGGAAAAAGGACGGCGTGTGGGGGGAGAGGTTTCCCCAACAAAAAAAAATCTTAATTGGTCCTGAGAGAACTTGGAAGTTGAGGTTTTCTAAGGAAGACCCTACCACCAGCAGCAAACACAGAGAAAGTCAGAAACAGGCGCAAACACAGGACCAAACACCTGCCAGTAACTCATTAGTATTGTGTTGAAAGA